TAGGGCTATAATTAATTATAGTTACCCTACTTATAAGTGGCGTTATAAGTCTCTCATAGGGCTATAATTAATTATAGTTACCCTACTTATAAGTGGCGTTATAAGTCCCCTCATAGGGCTATAATTAATTATAGTTACCTTACTTATAAGTGGCGTTATATTATAAGTCCCCTCATACGGCTATAATTAGTTATAGTTACCCTACTTATAAGTGGCGTTATAAGTCCCCTCATAGAAGTGGCGTTATAAGTCCCCTCATAGGGCTATAATTATTTATAGTTACCCTACTTATAAGTGGCGTTATAAGTCCCCTCATAGGGCTATAGTTAGTTATAGTTGCCCTACTTATAAGTGGGGTTATAAGTCCCCTAATAGGGTTATTTCATGGGTACTTATAAGTGGGGTTATAAGTCCCCTAATAGGGTTATTTCATGGGTGCTTATAAGTGGGGTTATAGGTCCCCTAATAGGGTTACAATTATAGTTACCCTACTTATAGTTATAACTCCCCTAATAGGGTTATTATTATAGTTACCCTACTTATAACCCTACTTATAACTACCCATGAACCTCCAAGTACCAAGCAGGGAGGGAGGGGACAAATGGAATCTGCCTTGACAGACTCGCTCGTGCACTTCTCGGCCGTGACGCAGGAGGCTGCAGATACGCTGCCGGGTACCGACCACTTGCCGGTGGGGCATGGCCTTTCGAGCACTTAAACGCCTTCTTCGATACATTGCAAAGGTCTGCAAGTAGTAGCCCCATAATGCCCTTATTGTCATTGTAAGCTTAAGCCCTAGACCCTACACCCTACCCTAAACCCCAAACCCCAAAGAAGCCCTGTAGGTGCTCCGGCTGGCATCTGGCCAGGCTTGCGGATCTGCCAGCTGACAGGTACCTGCAACGAGAAAGTGTGGGACACCTCCTACAGTACCTAATAATTAGAATAGGGTTTTGGGGCCCATTATACTAATTATGATCAGGAATCCCCAAAATCCCAAAATAGTTATAGGTAAGTACTTCCTTCCCAGCCATCTGCAACGAGGGCACTGGTTCCGTTGGCAGGCCTCCGACCAATCAACAGCGACAAGACACAACGGTTAACTGGGTTCTTGTTAAGGGAATTAATTTAAGTTACCATGATAGGGATCTATAGTAAATAATATGGTTTCCTTATTATGGTAACTTAAATTAAGTCCCTTATCAAGAACCCAGTTAAAGGAGGCAGGTGTGTTAATCAGGGGTCGACAGCAAAAGCACACAAATGAGCTAGCTGCATTGCAGTGGTCCGCGCCGCCGATGCTGTGCATGCCAGATCCTTGCTGCAAGGGCGTTGCAGTGTTTGTCCTATTTGGTCTACCAGCAAGCACGAATCCGGGAAAGGCTTCGCTACGCGGCTGTGCCCGATGCCGTGGCAGTGGAAGCACTCCAAGTCTGCGTACTGCGTTCCCACCACTTGCACGAGCCTTGGAGCATACACCAGAATGCAGGGTGTCTCTTCGATTCGTGCACAGCACTCTGCTGCAAAATGGCTTTGAAATATGGCTTGGGATCTGGGCTGCAGTTGTGCGCGGTCCATGCCCGTGTAGCCACTGTAGTCCTGCACATTACAACACTTGTGGCATTGCCCAACCACTGGCCATAGAAACACAGACTCATGCGTCTGCATTAGTCTTACATGTTGGGGCCGATAGACTCTTTTACCGATCGGAAGCATCTGTGAATTTCCGGAAGACCTCCAAGATGACGGTCATCTCAAAAGCTTTCGTTTACTTCGTTTTACCATGAGTTTCCCGGTCCTTTGCATACTGCCAGCGGAGGACGTGGGCACCTTAGATTCAGATGCTCTTTATTGCAACGCAGACCGCCCTCTACAACAGAAGACTGCCTTGAGCACAGTACCCTTCGTTAGATTCACGCGGACATCCGTCCAATTTCGCTGTGAGGACGTGGAAGGCACGGCCTCCCAGAACAGGGTTTAGGTTTTTTTTGAGCACCTTTGTTAATGAAAGCACACTGCCACACGTCAAGAGATCTGCAAAATCCCCTTCAGCCACCATCATCAGGTGTCGTGTTGCTTCCTTCCATGGTTGCTGGAGGCAGCTAGCGATTAATCAATGTTCAACAGATCTAGGCATGATTCTGGGCAAGTTATTATAGACCACACACGTGAAATAAGGCAATCTTTCGCCATATTACTACCTTGTAAATCATCACAAGTGGGGCTTGGTCGGGTGAGGTCGCTCTACCTTGCCCAGGCATCATGATGATGGTCGAAAGTTTTTCAGTCGACCACTTTCTGAATTAGGCCGTGGCTTATAATAGATGGCCGGGGCTGTCAAGTGGGCCGGAAGATTGATGCCTCACATCTTGGAGCTTCAAACTTCCAGACGCATTAAGTGCGCGCCTAAACTGCGAAAACTGCGTCTCCGGTCTCGTTTTGAAGCCTGGGACGGGCACGAGCCTCTTTTCCGCGCGACCGCCTGGTACGGGCACGAGCCTCTTTTCCGCGCGACCGCCTGGGACGGTCACGAGCCTCTTTTCCGCGCGACCGGACCCGGAGGCCCACACCGACAACGAGAATGCCCACAACAACTGGGACCATGCTGACCAGAGCAACGCTCTGGAAAACCTCCCAGGGTACTGCCTTGGTTTCACACAATTGAGCTGGTGAGTTCGGAGGGCAAGCATCAAGGAACTCGTTGCGCAAGGCATGGTTGTCGGGCGAGTCAAGTTCAAAGGTTGCCGCAGTTGTGTTGTAGCGGAAAGCTTCCAAGGTCCGGTAAGCTCGTCTGGAGACAGTCACTCCTGTAGACATGTAGAAGGTGGGCATGTCTGGCTTGTAGGATTCACAAAGCTGACGACGAGCACGAAATGATGTCCAAGCTTCCTCGTCAATAATCGCAGCATCACACACGCGATTCGTGTAGTCTCCCATGAGTTCTTCCCAGTTCCAGTAGTAGCTGGTATGAATATTCGCACGTTCATGCGGAAGCATTGATGTTCGATAGACTTCGTGGAGGCATATGGTGACATTGTCTGTGCTCGCTTTCACCGCTTCCAAGGTTGGGAACTTGCCCTGCCGTTTTCTTTCTACAACCAGGTCTGTGGTGAGGGTTGCAGCATAGATGGTAGTAGTCACGAGAATAAAGACCTTCAGGCCCATCACAGCAACTTTTCGTGCACAGGAGAGCCAGAGCTTCCGATCTTTATCTTGGGTGTTCTGATCAGTCCATTCTGTGGACCCTTCAACGAACGCTTCAAAGAGGCCTTCGCAAACAAGGCAAAGATTTCGGGCCAGAGAAGCACGAGCCTCTGCTGTGAGGTCGCCCGGTGTCGCACAGGCGGCAAATTTTCCATTGAGCGCGGTGATCAACCCGATCAAAATGAAGAACGTCCAGAGAATGAACCACCAAGTTTCTTCCCTGAAAACCTTGATCCACCACCAGAATTCGGTGAAATGTTCACAAGAACTTTGAGAGATGATGAAAGCTGGGGTGGTGTGGAGTTCGACCATAAAAGTGAGCTCCTGCCGCTCGCGGTTCAACGCAAACTGCCCGGAGCACAAATCTACCCAGCCAAGCGCCGTGGCAAAGGCGCAAATGTCGTAGTTGGTCCACTTCTTTTCCCTGAAGCCAGTCAAATTCTCGTAAAACTCCACGCGCTGATCAAAGGCACGTCTGATGTTGTCGAAATAGTCATCAATGCTCTCATGTTTCTTGATGAGTTTCGGTATCACCTCAACATCAAGCTTCTCCAACACTGAGAGGGAGGCGTTCCAAAACCTGAAGAACAAACCTTCGCAGTGCACACCGTTGGAGTCGTCGCATTGACTATTTCCCATATAGTCCTTGTCCAATGAACTCTCCAGGTGAAGCACCCGAAGAGGGTCTCCTTGGAGACGGGGCGCCATTGACCTGACGAGATAGTCTGGCCAGCCATCATGCACGTTGCCACAGGTGGCATAAGACAATGGCCCCAAATGTCCATGTTGCCAATCCAGACTACAATTCCTGCCGTTCTCAATGTAGCACCAGTTGGCGCTACACCAAGGGTCATTCGTGCCACTGGGACCATTGCCATCTTCAGAGCAGTGCAACTGCTCAGCCGATGGGTGCTTGTAAATCCTTTGGGCAAACTCCGCATCTCTTTTGTGGCTCTTACATCCGATCCCGAAGGTGCTATAGTTCCTTGTCTCACCAGTCTGATTGCTTTCGTATATGAGTCCATGTTTCTCAATGTCCTTTTCGGTATGGCTGTTTTTGCACGGGCACCGAGCATCTCCATCCACAGCCGCATGCAAAGCTGGAAGAGTAATGAACATCGCCATCAGGAAAGCCATGGCGGAACACCAAGGCGATAGCTTTGGGACTGAGTCGAATTACACACTTCGAAGTCCAAATAAGTCACAAGTTTGCATGTAGATCACTGCTTGGCTTCCATCATGGTTGATGAATGGTCATGTAACGGTTCATTCTGGTTCATAGTGAATTAACCAATGTGTTTCCAACGTATTGTGACCCATTCCCAGGAACCTCTCTCTCACAGCCTTTGAGCACAAGCCCTTGGGTTTAGGGTTTAGGGAAAGCTAAGGCACGGAAAGGAGTGGTCGCCAAAGGCAGAGTTTGGAGCTGCAGCCTTTTGATCGCGAAAGTTCCCTCTCAAGGCTGCACAAACAATTAATGTAGGGGCCTTAAGAATTTCAATAGGGTTTTGGGGTATATTAGATTATAAGTTTAATAAGGTACCCCCAATATAGTATAGTTAATTAATAAAAGGCCTCTATGTTATGGTGCTGTTTCGCACCGTGCCCCAGAAACGACACCCAGACTTCGATGAACTGCCATCAGTGTCTCAGCAGCCGGTCGGCCACACCGGCACGGCCGTGAACTACTGGGGCGGTCTTCCTCTACAAATGGGACATTCTCGGCACTGAAGGTCTATGCTGGGGATACAGCGAGCGCAAGCATACGGCGGTCGCGGTGAGCAGTAGCAAGTGACAAAGCTGGCTCGGCCCACAGCCGGAGCATCCTGGCAAATAATGCAGGTAGCCTGGTCTTGAGCGACCCGGGACGCCGGGGGAGCCTCTCCCGTCAAGAGGTGCCGAGAGAGCTCATCATGAAGGCCATGTAAGACGTTCTCCAAGGAGGAACAGAGGCTGTGGGTGATCTGCCGAAGGGCTGGTCTCACAGAGTTCTTCAACTGTTCGTCCGCAGACCTGATCGCAGAGTCACTCGCACCTTTGCCTCCCCACCACGTGAGCGCGTTGCTCAACATACTGCGAATCGGTCCACCTGCCGGAACTTTTCTAATTGAAGCTTTCGGCGTACGGTGTCTACAGTCAACTCGGTGCAAACTCTGGGACAAGGAAACGACTTGTGCGGCCTGCTGTAGTCACTGCATTTATCTGCTGGCGCACGCCCGTCAGTCGCAGAGAGAGTTCCTGATTGAAGGCCGACGGCACGTTTGGAACACCTCGCAGCTTCCGTTCTGAATCCTCCACCTGTGCTGCCAAGATAAACATGCAGCTGTCATTCTTCTACGTATAGCCAAAAACGACATATACATATATATATATATAT